CCCCCCCCCCCCCCCCCCCCCCCCCCCCGCCCGCGTCCTCTGTGCACAACGATCCTCGCAGATGTTCTCGTCACGCCGGGCCAAGAGGCAGTGAACGCCTGGAAGTAGCGCCCTGGGAACGGGAAACATGTAGTCTGCGGCATTTTAATGGGACACTCAGTAAAAGGAGGTGAACGGGGTTTGAAAACGGACGCTTCTTTCATTAGCAATAACAGGGCATGTTATGTGCATACCCTTAATTCTATCGTTTATGTGAGCACCACACAAATGCGCGCACACCACTGTGACTCTCGCACAAACCTGGGGGGTTGCAAGCCAGCATTTAATGAAAATGGACAGCTGTCTGTTTCTATCTCGCCTGCTTTTACAGTTTCTGAACTTAACTCGGTTCAGATCTATGGGACTGTGGAGTCGAGGCCCTTAGCACAAGTATCCGTGCAAATTGCCCGTCACTCGCTGTTCCGGGAGATCCCGCTCGCCTTTCTAACTGCTCGTCTGGAATTCTGCAGCTCCGTCGAGAGAAGCGAAAGGAGCAGAGAGTCGGGCCTCGGAAGGGGCTAAACGCTAGTTAAACATACGAAGGCAGTTTCAGTTTTCTGGACCACCGCTTCGGAGGACAACAAAGTGAAGCAGGAGAACGAAAGCAATTAGGTGACATTTGAACTTCCTGTCTGAGCAAATTTGGCCTGATTGCGAGAACTTGAGAAAGACTTGCCTGCAATTCCGAGGAGGTGCCTTTGCCATGGAAGCTCTGACTTGAGAGCAAATATCAGAACAAAGGCCTGGCAGAGAAAAAGTAAATATACCCGGTCGGGGATTATGTGTGTTTCTGTTGCTTAGGTATGCCGATGTGTTCTAGTAGCCAAAATGTTTGGCCATGAAAAGGTGAGCAATGTTTGTTCATCACTGTAATAAATTGTGTGCTAATTTGATACATACATATTAACTGTATGTATATGTGCATGTATATACATGTATGTGTACACAAACACACACACACACGTATGCCTTGGAAGGCACCACTACATGTTAAGAGACAAAGTTATCTGTAATTCACATAAGCTACTAACACAATACAATTGTTAGTGTTAAAAATGCCATAGGATTCTTTAATGTTGTAAGAGGTTAATATATAATTGACATTATTACTAGTTACTTCCTTTTTTCATAAATACAAGGTAGGAAGTTGCTCTTTTCCCAACCCGTTCAGCAATTATCTTTCTAGCCATACTGATCAACTTAGATGTGGTAGCAAATACAGGATACATACAGACTAATCTACAAATGAGATGCTTCAGCAACACTGTTTACACAGATGTTAAGTCCAGTCAAGATCAACAGAACTGATCCACAAGAAAATGTGCCAAGTATTGGAATTTGGATTTTTGGCTAAGTTGATTTTATTTCAAAATGTGAGTAAATTCACGTAAATAAATCTGAAAGCTTCTTGTGCACGTCTCTCTGTATGTGCTGTTATCTACATTTGCTTCTTGAATTTAATTTTAGTTAGCTCAGTTAATTTGAAGAACTGTAGAAATATGCTTATATACTTCCTAGATTTGTGTGTGCATGTGTGCATGTGTATGTATATACTGTATGATAAATATTTAAGGATATTTTCCCTCCCATCTTTAATATATGCTTCTATCTCAGCACAGTGATAGGTTCATCTGATGGAGATCATACAAGAGCTTCATTATAAATGAGTCCACAACACTATTGCTTTTGAAGCAAGACTCATATAGCTGCTCCCCAAACTGATAAAGAGTGTGTGCGCTCATGTTCTAAATATATCCAACATTTTGGTTCATACTATCATAGAAGTAATCTATTTCAATTGTCTTATCATACCTGCTTCCAAAATAATGGGGTGTCATGAAAATTTTATTGGGAGGAAAGTTTGTATTTCTTTTCAGTTTCGTTTATATCTCCTTTATTATTAAATGTCTAACTTCTCAGAGAGAAATCTATTTGGGGTGACTTATAGTTCAGTCATGAAATTCCATAGGGCTCACTCCCAGGTAAGAATACATGTGCAAACAAAGCCCTAGCCACCAGAAAATTCAGTCAAACGTCTTTACTAAAATGAACCAAATGCATAGAATTTGAGACAGGTTTTCCACTTCATGGGGATCAACGGCTCTCAGCCTTGATTGCAGTGTGACTGCCTCTGAAGGCCACTGCTGGGAGACTAGTGGGCTTCCTTGTACAGTTGGTTGGCCACCGTGAGAGCAGACTGCTGGACTAGATGGGCCAGGGGTTTGATCCAGCAGGACTCTGCTTATGTTCTTAGGATCTCTTTAACAGGGAATATCCTGCAGCTAAGTTAAAAATACCACTGGGTCAAAAGGAAATTTCCACCTAGGCCATTTCCACCTGAGCGATTTATAGCATTTATGGCATTATCCAATACTGCTCATGAAGACAGGCTTTATATCACCACAACAGTAGGGTGATGCTACAAGATGCTACAAATTACCAGTGTGGAAGTAGATTGAGTACAGCAAAGCTTCCCTCAAAGCCCATCTGTTAAAGATCAGGGAGCCAGGTCTCTAGGGTTATGGATGAGCCTCGTCAAAGGCAAATTCATATCGTTTTGTGAATCTCTTCCCCTTTTGATGAAAATACCCTAGACACTTTCTGAAGCTACAGAAGTGCCCAGTCAGTGAAGAAACCAATGGCTATCCCATTCCCCTCCAACCCACCCAACAGGCTGTAGATCCTCTGGAGGGGGTGGGCTTCTTGGATTTGGGTGGCCAACCCTGTCCTTAGCTGGAAGTCTTACCCTCTTACCTTGATCTGTGATGGACCTAATTCCCAAGATGTCAGTGACGGAATGGGAGGAGGGCCAGGTCCGAGGCATATGGACGGTGCTGTGGATGGTCGGCATGCCAGGTGGGGTAGGCACCTTGGCACCTGCTGCAGCTATGGGGCTGGGATAAGAGTAGATGTGGTTGTAAGGCAGGGCTGGCTGGGGCGCTGCCTGGTGCTGTTTGTAAGGCTCGTAGTGATTCTGCTGAGAAAGGTTCCCAATCTTGTTGCGCAGAATCCGGCTAATGGAACTGACAGAGGGTACATTGTATTTGTCGCACACGCCGTCGGCCAACAGCCTGTCCCGGATCTCCCAAGCAAAAATGCCAGGATCCCTTTGTTTGTAAGTCCGGATGTGTTTCACCACTGTCGGCGTGGTGACACGCGGCTTGCTACCTCCGATGGCCCCTGGTAAGATGGAGCCGGTCTCATTGTAGCGCGCCAGGATCTTGCTGACACACCCATGGGAGACGCGCAGCTGCCGGCTGATGTCGCACGGTCGGATGCCCAGTTGAGCTAGTTCCACAATCCGAAGCCGGATGGCGTTGGGCAAGGGACGGCCGTTGACGAAGACTCCGCCAAGCTGGTTGACCTCCCCGAAGGCCGGTTCTGCAAACAAAGAGAAGCCGCGGCACGTTGGAAGAGGC